TAGAAGGTTTATGCATAACTGCAAGCCTCTGGAGGATCCTAGACCTTGATGTTCGCGGGACTCCATGGGCACCAGCAGCTTCAAATATCTGTTTGCTTTGTGCATTTGTGCAAGTTTTTTTTTATTTTTTAGAAAAAAAAATACTGTTATGATTAGGAGGTTTGTTCAATAACATTTTAATTGTACTCTAACAGTTGATCGCTGATGACTGTCATTTACATCAACTATTTAGGAAAATAAAAAAAATACCATTTGCATAATAATTTGAAACGCAGTGTAGAACCACAGATGAAGGGGCTCTGGACCATGATCATGTGACTGACTGAATGCCATGTCTGTCCTTTTGTTGTTCTTATCAGTTTTGTTTCCATTTGCAGTAATGACATGCCACTACAACAGTGTGCAGACCAGACCAGACCAGACCAGACCTGGCTTCCACACAAGCTCAGTGTTTTCTTCTGACCAAAACCCCAAGACACAAATGAGACAAATTTACTGGCCAAACAAAAAATATTACATGGAAAGAATGTGAAGAATATATAAAAAAAAAGAAGCATGTGCACATTAGAGCAGGAAGGCCACAGTAATGGCCAAACATATCAGCATCATTATAGTTCTGTAAAGACCCTACACTAATTATACTAGGTAATTGTTGAAAAAACATCTATTTGGTATTTACATGTTCATTTCTCTTAATAATCTTAATAATAAAAATAATTCTCTAAAAAGCTGGGGAAAAGACACACCTGATACACAGAACTGCACTGAAAAAGATTCCTGGCACCATTAACTTCATATTTGGTAGAACGACCTTTGGAAAAATAACTGAATGACTTTCTTACACTGTTCTACTGGAATTTAAATCACTCCTCTTTGGCAAACTGATCTCTCCACGTGTTTCAAGGGATTCTCAATACTGGCCATTTTAGAAACTTCTAGCATTTCTAAGTGCATGTGATCATTTGATCAGTGTTAAGTTGTCCAACAACAAAAAAATTGTTTGCGGAAGCATGGTACATGCTTAGCTTAAGTCAGCCACTGAGAAACCGATTATAGTACGGCAATAATCTTGAAATAAGACCTTTTATTGTTTCGCTTAATGGTACTTACTAATTAAAGAATGCTGAGACAAGGAAATACGTTTGATTACAATAAACGGTTCATTATTACTCTGCAGAGTACCAGGAAGTTTCTCATTCAAAGTAAAACGATCACTTAAACTACCTGTACTCAATAGAGCCAAAAAACGTAATTATAATTTTAATTTAATTTACCTCTGTGCTGATGTTTTTTCCACACAAGTTTTAGTAAGAGGGGAATGTGAAAAGACATTCCATTTGTCTTCAATTAAAATTCATTGTTATACATTAATTTCTGATTGAACACAGCAGGGAGGGATTCTTTTCAGTGAGAAACCAGCAGCACCGCTCCCTGTTTAAGCCAACTTAAGCTGTCTGGATAATGAGTTAAAAAGAAGATGAAAGTAAATGTTAAAAAAGAAGAATAGGTCAGGGCTCCAGGTTCAACAAGGATCAACAGAACAAAGGACAAAAAGTGTTTTCCAATTTGACCATCATGCTTCACTTTGATTTTAAAAAGTCACCTCTATGTATGCCATTCACTCCCTGTCTTATTGCACACACTGCCCAGAGGCTAAAGTTACGATTGTCAACAGTTGTTACTCACAAATAACACTAGCACTGACTTCAAGAAAGATTAGGAGACCAATAATTCGGATTTGAGCTCAACTTTTTCCCCAGTCTTGTCCCAACAACCATAGTCTTATGGTTCGTTGGGGTTTTTATTTGGTATTTTTGAGAAAGTCCTGTAAATGTACCACTGAGAGGCCACTGGTCTCTCCTGTAAACTTCAGCTCTATAATTACAATATTCTAAACCCATACTTTCTTTGAAACTATGGACAAAGCCTCAATTTTCCTTCACATCAATATCTTTTTGTAAGCAACAAGTAAGTAATAAGGAACAAGTACATTTATTATACGTAATAACAAGACGAAGAAGAACTTCCCCAGCCTTGGATTTATGTAATGCTGCAAAATATAAAAACTTTTAGTAACACTCTTACACCAAATGACTCGCAGTAGCTTAGTCAGGATAGTGGTTTACTATAACAAGGCATTTAAACAGCTATTAAAAACCACAAAGTACAACTTTTACAGCCAACTAAAATCAGCTGCCTCTTGTTGGTCTGGTTCACATGGCTCTGATCTAATGAAGAACAAATGGCCAGCTGATCATGTGAATAAAAATTGCTTGCAGCGCACTGGTGTAGGTCCAACAAAGACAAATTGTTTGCCATGCAATGAAAAGGTTCCAAATTTCACATTTTGCTGCCGGTAGCCATTACAGCAAAGTGTGAAACGTACACAAATGAAATTGAACCCTTTTAACTCTTGCACCCATGGTAGCTATAAAAAGAAAAGTGTGTCTGTGACTCCTCCAGTCTTACAAAACACACAATAGCTTAACACAATTGTAAGTGACACATCAATCAATCAATAAATCAATGAATTGTTAAAAATCTAAAATGTAAATACTATTTCTTTGTTGCTTTGTTGTTATTTTAAAATGTTCTTCCTCCATTAGGTGTGCTATAAGGGAGTTTATATGCACTGAGCCCAAAACATTTTTTTTTTTTAAATTTTGAACTAGATTAAAATTTATTCCACAAACAACATACATTTAGCTTCTTAAAATTGATTCCACAAACAACATACATTTAGCTTCAATGACAGGCTTTAATAACTGGTAGTTTAATATAATGAAGTTGTGGCAAACTAACTACAGATTTGTACAACTTTGTACACCTTCCAAAATTCCTCTGTTAGTTTAAACAGCAGATGACTGATTTTGACCTGTATTGCTTGCACATTCTGGGTCAATGTCACCATTTTTACAGTTTACACTTATACACACCCAAAACCACTTAGAGAAAACGCCCAAAGTAATTGTTATTTATATAAAAAAGTGGATGGTTATAGCACATTTGTATATGGCATGTTACAATATTGTTTATGAATTCCCAGCATTTCGACGTAGTCGATAAGTAATTTTATTTCACACTAGAACTATGTTTGAATTTGGTATTTTCCTCTCCGTAATTTTATTTCACACTAGAAATATGTTTGAATTTGGTATTTTCCTCTCCACTGAAGGAAAGACAACGAAAGTGCCATATAGCTAACACTCAGTGTACAATTGAAATAATTCTAGTTGTAATTAAATTCAATAAGTTATAATAATAAGTAACGTGACGTCAGCAACGAAGAACAACACATTCGGGACGAAAAATTGACATGATTCAAAATTCGCATCGCGGTGAAGCCGCCATAAATTCGTGCCGCGAGCTATTCAAATTACACCGCGAAATGGTCAATTGGCGTAAAAAGATGTCCGCTGGACAAAAATATGACTAGCACCGTTGAAGGAGGACACCAGGTTCACAGAGACTCAGTCATGACGTTGAAAGGAAAAACACATTATTCATTATTACTGCTGCTGTGACTTCATACAAACTAACGCCGTCTCCAGTAACTAGCCACACCATTCTCTCTGACATCTGTCATTTCCAACGACAGCAGAGAAACGTTACCGGAGAAAGTTATTGCGCCAGAAGCCAGTGAATTAAAATAGTATTGCAAAACACGTGGTCAGTGGGAATACAATTGGACGATAATGTATTTTTAAGCTTACCTGTTCGTTAAGCTGCCGCTGCTCTTTGATGTATTGTTTTATCACAATGATACTGCCGCCGTCGCACCAGACTAATTCGCGTGTCAACAACTGCAGTGGCGTGTGCTGGAACCGGTAGGTGGAGCGCGTGAATCTAGTTTGACGCAGTGTACAAAGTATTGTGGGAAATGCTGTCTTTTTAAATGACAAACGACCGGAAGCGTCATAAAGGCAGAAAGAGTCATGCGCCTCAAGATATCTGGTTCCATGTACTACTGAAAACGGAGCCGTTCTATTACATTTGTTTTGTTTACAACTATTTGTTAACGTACTCGTATATTTCCTAATTTTTATTGTGTTATAGTATTTCTTTTATTAAATAAACTTTTAACAGTCAATGGAATCAGTCAATTGTTTGGCAAGAATGAATCCTTGATGACCGATTATTCTCTGAAAGTAAGGCACGAGTGCCACCCTGTGGCGCTTTGTGTACTCTGTCAATTTCTTTGGTTTGTCTTTCTACCGGTTTTATTATTTTTAGGGGCGCGGGATGGTGAGTTTACCGATTCCTAAAAACCAAGAGGCATTCAAAACTACAAATATATGTGAACTAATTAAGTCTGAAAAGCTCCACAAAGTACATTGTAATGTCCGTAAATAAACGTCATGTGTCGCGGTTTGATGACGTATGACAAGTTAGAGTCGAATGTGCTAGCAGTAAAGTAAATAAATGTTTAGCGAATTAGAGATATATATTAGAGATGAGTACCTTATGTGTGTATACTTTTACTTGTATGTAATGGGTGCAATTGTGATATTTAAAAAATTGTTTGAGCATATCCCTTTTACAGTAGCATTAAAATGTAGTGAATCTACGACATGTTAATTGTTGGATACATTTACCTACATTTCCGCCGTCATCAGCAGGCATGGCGGCCTCCTTCACGGGTGCTGCTGGCGTTCCTTCCGCGGTGTCTATGGCTCCCTCAAACCCAACAACTCCGGTTACGGTTGGAACAAGCCCAGACAACCCAACTCTTCACTACAGCATGATCCTGGAGCATCTCATTGGGGACAAGCGGCCTGTGAAGGAGCTGAACCCCGCCGTTATGGGAGCACTGCCCGTGCCCGCAAACGGAACACCTTCTCTTCTGCCTCCTGTGTACTTGCACAATTGAAAACTATTTGTTTTTGGATGAAAATCAAACAACTTATTTAATTTCAGGCCAAGTAAAGTTTGAGTCAGTTGTATTCTGTTTGGTTTTTTTTTAATTATTATTATTATTTTCATATTTTTGACGACACTAACCATGTAGCTTCTGCCCTGTGGGTTGTTGTCATTGCCGTTTCTATGGTTTCATTTTATTCATTTTTTTTCCCACAGGGTTTGTTCTTGGAGGAGCCTTTGGTATTTTCACTGCAGGAATTGACAGCAATGCGGGCATTGACCCCAAAGATCCACTAAGGACACCGACAGCACGAGAAGTCCTCAAAGACATGGGTCAGAGGGGGATGTCCTATGCTAAAAACTTTGCCATTGTGGGCGCCATGTTTTCCTGTACAGAGTGCATCATAGAATCAGTAAGTACACGTTGGTGCTGAGGTAGTACTGGAATAGACAACAGCAAATAAGGAAATATACATACATACATACATATACATATATGTATATACTGTATATATATATATATATATATATATATATATATAGTATATGTGTGTGTATATATATGTATGTGTATATATTTATGTGTGTGTGTGTGTGTGTTTCACATGGTAATGAGGACGTGAGCCACAGGTGTAGAGGGCTGAAGGGGAGGAACACAGGTGAAGATAATGGAAACTGATTGGCTGACAGATGAAGCCAAGCAGGCAGAGGAGATCACGGCAGGTGTGAGAGAAGGACACAAGCAGAGGACGATAGCGGTAAGACAAGATAAGGACACATGAAAACCCAGTTGACGTGTTGTGTTGTTTGTTTTGTTGAAGGTTTGGTGATACGTATTGATACGTTGTTGAGTGAACCTGTTAGTGACACATGTCCCTCACAGCTACTGGACGTACATTGTATCATAAAGTGGTCTCAAAGCTGTAAAATCTGTCTAGAGATTTTTTTATATATAACCTTTACTAGGTCACATGACCATTAAAATACTCATGCAAATTTGTGCAAACAATTCTAATATAATGACCAGCACAGCAGTGAGGGTAGAGCTATAAGAACATCAAGTGGAATGGGAGGTGGTCTGTGCTCTGGTCCTGGTCCCTCATCAGCACATGCATGATTACACCACATGCTGGACCAGGCCCCAGTTGGAGAGAGGTAGGAAATGAAGCTCCATATGTGCTTTAATTCTACTCTCTCTCCCTCTCTTTCACATTACTCCATCCACTCTCCTCCCCTGGTACGCGGCCTCCGAGTTCTGCCGCAAGGTTCGACAAAATGACTTTGTTTCTGACAGGTTTTCTCTCTGTCTCTCTCTCTGTTCTGCAGCTGGTCTAAAAGCAGGAGTCCTGGGATGTGGAGGATTCGCTGCTTTCTCTGCTGCCATTGAGTATTATTTGCGCTGAGCGGAGCGTCTCTGTGGGGGCGGAAAAAACCCCAAAAAACTTTGTCAGTGGAGATGAGTACCACGATAAATGCCGTGCTGTAAATATTTACCCGTACGTCGAGGACTGCTGCAAAGGCAGAAGGGACGATTTCAGCGGAACCAACTTGTTCTTTTGTGTACAGTGATGACTCATGGAACTGAACGTGTGTTCTTTTATATTTTCTTTTCCTAGCTTTACATCAGTTTTCTGCGGGAAGTTTATCCAAACAGATCATTTCCATGTGGAAATAAGCAAAAATCATTGTGGGTGGTCTTGAGACAAAGGTCACTCTGAGTCACAATGATTTCAAATTAGACTCGGAACACGAGACCAAGCTGAACGTGATCTATGTCCTCGTGTAAAGCTAGTATCATTAGGCTGTGTCTGATTTGCATTTAAATTATTTCGAAAATAAATACTTCCTTAATAACTCCTGAGGTTCTGAAGCATAGTCACAGATTGTGTTCCGGATACAACGTGCTGTAATATATGTTCCTGTCTTACAAGGTGCTGCATAGGACACAGGCTGTGAAAAAAATTAGTCTTTAAAAACAGTTCCACTGGCAACAAAGTGCAAATGCAAAAAATTGTGAAAATAGAAAAGAAAAAAAAATCCTGTCCTGAAATGTTTACCCTTTGTATACAGGAAACGACAATTATCGAAAAATTCCTGTCCTGAAATGTTTACGCTTTGTATACAGGAAACGACAATTATCGAACATTTGGTAATAAACTAAAGATAGTTTAGTCTAGTGACCTGAATGTCATTTTAAGGTCACATTCGACAATTAACAGAATCGACCGCCAGGAGGCGCCACATACTAAGATGTAAAAGTAGGCGTAAACTGCTAACGATTCTTCAAGCATTCTGTGTCAGGGTTGGTTGTATGATGTGATTCACGTTAAAATATATTTTATATTGTATTCCAATTGAAAGTTACTAACTAAAAAAATATATGTATTGGTTCTTTTAAGCATATTCAGCATACAGTATTCCGGAATGTTAAAATCTTAAACTAAACAGTACAATAACCAAATATTCAAATACTTCAGACAAAGTGAAAGTGTTCCGGGAGATTTTATTTTACTAAAAAGAAAGTTCACATTGACATTTAACCTCAATAATACAGTATGTTGAAATTCTTCTCAAAAACTTTTTTTTTTTTTTAAATTTTAATCCTATATTAAAAATATCAAATAGTACTCATCTAGCAGTGCTTACAGTATTCAAAGATATGTTGCAGGCCGGGCAGCAGGAAGACTGGCTTTGTACAGAGCAGAGATGGTGTTTGCCAGTGTGAGTGAGGCTCTATTAAAAAAAAAAAAGAAAAAAAAAAGACAACCTAACTGTGTGCCTGCTTTGATTGACAAGCTGGACATGCAACGCTGGCAACTACACAAATGATTCTATACATTACAGCTGTGCAGTAAGACACTTGGAACAATACATCAACAGAATTTTTTTTTCTTTTTTTTTTTTTCCTTTCTACTTTTCCCAACAGAAACCCTTGTCTTCATCTGGAATTAATTGGAAAAAAAAAAAATTTGGAGATTTTTTTGTTTTGTTTGTTTTTGGTACAGTTAACTAAACCATTGATGTGTTGAATGAGTAAACCTGACTAAAAATAACACAACTACCTGCATGAACTTCAAAAACAGACTCCTTTGGAGCACTTCTCTAGTTGCACACAACTGTACAGGCATATATTTATATTTATATATTTTAAATAAATAGGGCTTATCCAAGCCAGAACTCGCAGGGGAGGACAGTTCTCTCGGTCCAACCGTAGTCACGTCGCCAGATTGATGTCCCCCATACAGGTTCCCCTTATCCCTTAAACATACACCTACCCAGATACACAACCACTTGAGTACATCCGTACATCACCCATACAGCGCACGGAGTCTCCTCCGTGACTTGTACAAAACCAGAAGGACATGATAACCGCATGATTCAAATAAAAAAAAAAAAAAAAAAAAAAAATCTCAATGCCATTTTCTGGAATAACTCCGATAAGAACGAGAAATAATTTGCTGCAGAATTATACAGGTTTTTTGAGATCAGTAAACAAAAGTGCACGGAACGGAAACGAAAACGATAACGATGTCGTCGAAACCCGGGCTGTGCTCCTCGGACTCCTACAGACGCCTCCACTTTTCCTCGCGGTTCCGTGCTCCTCACTTTACAAACGAGACATGATGACATGATGAAGAGGCAAGAAGGAAGTCTGCCTCACCGCCTCCGATTCTCCGGTTCAGGTGTGTGTATATATGTGTATGTATGTGTGCGCGCGTGCGCGTGAGGTGAAGGGGTATGCAGTAAAGACGCGCGTGCGTGCGTGAGGTGAAGGGGTATGCAGTAAAGATGAGCTGCCTTCTGAGAGGAGACACAAGGCAGGAGGACGAGGAGGAGGAGGAGGAGCTTGCCAAGAGGGCAAGCACCGTGACGTGTGCGGAGTCTCCCAGTCATGTGGCGACCCTGAGGAAAGTGTGGCAAGATTAAACGTCCGTGGAAAAGTAGAGTGTGTTGCGCTTGAGTTCCGAAAAGGAGATGGGAGGATGCTGCAGGTAGTAGAGCAACACCTGGACCTGAGAAGGACAAAGTACAACGGGATTAGAATGTGCCGGCTTTCGTTTATCTTCAGCCTTTTTACAGTTATTCAAAAACAGTTGTTTTTTTTTGTCTTTGAACTGTTTCAAGCTGGATTAAGAAGAAGAACTCCCCTTCACCGCCCAAACTGAAATACTATTGAGAACCTGGTAACGTGTATATTTTTATACACGTGCAGTGGTACACTTATGTCCAGCGTACAATATACCATTGGAAGCCCCTCACGCCACCCCTACTATTTGAGTCTTAGTCTTAGCGCGTTCTAGTCCAACAATCTAAAAGGTTGAACTATGCAAAACCTAATCCAGCATAAGGGTCACGTTATGGTTGTCGCTTTAAAAGCATGAGTTTAGAAATCAAACTTTTTGATTCGCGGGCCACAGGTGGGCCTAAAATTGAACAGGGGGGGCCGGGGAGGGCGGGGCGGGTCAGGAGCAGACAGATAGATTACATGTAAAACTCATGCATTAAGGATAATTACCTAAAATGCTTTTATCATTTTCTAAAGCCATCTATTGGGGAAACATGGGTATCGCAGGGAAAAGGCAGAAGTGTTATGATATTATCCATCCATCCATCCATTTTCATCCGCTTATCCGTTACCGGGTCGCGGGGTATCATGTTCTAAGGCCATCTATTGGTCAAACATGGGTATTGCAGGGAAAAGGCAGAAGTGTTATGATATTATACATTATATCATTTGGAAAAGTTTGGCGGGCCGGATTAAAAAGCTGAACGGGCCACATCCGGCCCATGCCTGGTTTAGACGAAGTGGGCTGGACCAGTAAAGTCATAACATAATTACCTATAAATAAAGTCCATGTTTTTCTCCTTTTGTTTTCATGCAAACAAGTACAGGTAATATTATAAAATCTTCATTGTTTGTGAATTGTTTCACTTTCAAAATTCATCAAGTGGACCAGATTGAACCCCCCACAGCGGACTGGTTTTGGTCCATGGGCCACATGTTTGACATCCCTGGTCTAGACAGTCCGACAGTGGCTCACACTAACATCCTGCTCTGCTCTACGAATGCACCTTAATCTTAGCATTAAACACTTTCATCAGAAAAAAAAATAAAAAAAAATGGCGCTATAGTGCTGCCTACCCATGTGAGTCAAGTTTTAATTTTTATTTAATAGTCCAAGCCTAGCATTCGTCACAGACTGTAATGATGCAGGAGGGCACTCATGTCTGTCCCATTTATAGTGATGGATGTTGTTTATACATTCGCGTACTGGAAACTCTCTTTCTCAGCACAGATAAATGAATGGCCTCTGGCCTGAGTGCAGCTGTGGGGGACAGACTGCAGTGACCTGGGTCACAAGGCGACGTGGGAGTGAAATGACTCTGGAGAACGGAGCATCCGAGGAGAAAAATCTGCGTTTTAGTGTGTACTGCTGCTCACTTATTAAAAGTCGCAAAACTTGCGGTGAATAAAAAATGACTCATTTCAATCAAACGTAAATAATAAATTACACAGATTTTGCCCTAATGTAATGCTCGTATGCAACTAATATTCCCATGAATCGCATGTTCAATAATTCCAAAGAGATACGTGTTGAAATCATGATCATCTAAACTTCATTTTATTCAGCATTTTTGTAACAATAATTGTTTTTTATCTTTCACGAGAAAGGTCAAAAGTGAGGGCAAAGGTCACATTCACCACTAAGCCGCATCCCTTTTTCCTAAACACTCCGTCCTAAGCACACCGTCTAATAATGCACATCAAACCAAAGCCTAAATCCAACACGCATACCTGAGCCATGACATCATGTGACCAGATGTCGGAGACAGAGGTGATGTGCTGTGCCTTCGCGTTTTCAGACTCTGAGGGTCTTAGCAGTGTGGGGCCGAACACGGTGGCCAGGTTATGGAGAGACATCTTGTTGATAGGCTCCTTCTCAGCCACACTGCAGGGGAGAAAAAAAACAAAAAAAAAAAAAACATGAACAAACAACGATATTAATTTGAACAGCGACAGACAGATTCGGCAAATGAAGAATCCCATTTTTTGAAAAGTTAAATATGGGATTAAAAAAAGATCTTGCATTTGATTGTTAGAAAGATAGACTAACTGACCAAAGGATGAAAAAAAAGTGTAATTTACAGGAGTAGTTACTGGTACCCTCCAACTGTTGCCAGAGTGATATTATATATTTTAATACACGAGTTGCACCCAAGTATAGGTCGCAAACCCAGCCAAAGGATGAAAGAAGTGTCTGTAAGTTACATGATGACGTCTGTATCTGTGCATGTACCGTTTGAGGTGCTCCAGCAGAGTAAGAAAAGTCATGAGGTTGGGGTCTGGCAGCGAGCGAAGCAGGTGCATCATGCAGTTCTCCTTGGCTGCAGGGTCTGAGAGAGCTGTGAGACAGCGAAGACAGATGACATTGTGACGATTATGGTAAGACAGTTTTAAGGTCACGTCACTTCTTATTTCTTCCAGAGCAAACCCAAATTTCACGATTTAAAAAAAAAAAAGCTCCGAAATGTGCCCCCGTGTTGACGGACAAACATAGGAGCGAAAAGTCACACCTATGCCTTCCATGAAGGCGGGGTAGAGGCGGTCCGTCAGCAGAGGCTCGGGCAGCTCCCTGAAGTACAGCTTTAACGTCCCTGCGATGGCATTGATGTCCATGTCACTCAGCATCACCAGGATGTCTTTGGTATCTGTGGATCAGCCATAAACGCACACACCCATTACTCCAAGTAACAGAGGCACAAACAACCCTAGCTGCTCTATCTATGGCAGGAAATGATTCAACGAAGGGGTCTCAAAACACTTGCAGCTGGTGTAACCCCCTCATCCAAATAGATTAGATTTATATATTATCTATATATTTTTTATATATATATATATAATATATAATATATATTATATATATAATGTACTGCATATATATATGTCTATGTATATTTATATATATATACATATATATTTGGATATACAGTATATATGCATATATGTATATACTGTACATTATATATTATCTATTTATTAATAGCAAATAGATTTCAATAATATTTTGATTTTGAACTTGTGTTATTTTTTTTTAAATGTATTTTTTATTCATTAACATAATTTTGCTATTCATTTAAGAATGAGTAAAAATGTAAAAATGTTGAACAGCATTTTTTTTTAAAACAAAAACACATTTTTCTAATATTTCATAATTATTATTTTATAATATATATTTTTTTAATTGAACATATAAATAAATATATAGAAATATTTATGGCGACCTCAAATCAGAAGACGTTGGAGAGTAATGATAAGGTGTTCATTCGGCTCTTATCTTCTGACTGGTTGGCCAACCTGACCTGACCTACGTAGATAATCTAGTTTAAAATATCGCTGCCCTGTGGCTTTTTTATTTATTTATTTTTTTAATAGAAATAAAACCACACGTTGTACGAGCAGTAGCTTCAATTTCATTTAGGTTTTTCAAAGCAAACGTTTAGACAAAAACCCGGAACATAAACCACAAATCACAGCTCGTCCATTGCCAACATGAAACTGAGCTTTTTGAAAGCAGCACGCAGACCACAGTAAGCGCACTTTAAATATATGAAGTACTCTGAAAGTCGAATTTAAGGACACGACTTCATTTCCATGAATATCTGTACTGGACTTGGACATGATGAAAAAGAAAGACAGTGACAGGTAAAGGTGACTCTTACTGATGTCAAAAGCTGCTTTGAGGGCCTGAATATCAGTAGCCACCCCTGAGATCCTGTAAATCCCGACTTCATCTATTCCCCTCTTCTCCACTTCCTCAATGCACTGACGGACGATGTAAGGCACTTTGGAGCGTTCACGCCTGCGACGGAAGACAGAAGACAACAGACACAAGCTCAAACAATGCTTCTTGTCTCTTTTAAGGATTGTTAACAATCGTTTCCATTCGTTTCCTCACACAAACAAAATGCTGCTAAAATGCTTTAGACCATACGTGTCAAACTCAAGGCCCGGGGGGCCAAATGCGGCCCGCCAAGCCTTTTTGTGTGGCCCCCGGGATCTTAAAAAACATTTAATAAAGTCCAGTAGCTTGAATAAATAATAATCAATTGCAGATACATGTATTAGTCTGTTGATGGAGTAGTTACATCGATACCAGACTCTGTTCTGTTTGTAATCAAAGTCTGAATGACTTTTATTTTAAAATATTGCCAGATTATTCTCAAATAAAGAAGGTAAACTGAATTTTTTTTTTTTTTTTTGGAATGAAGTAAATTAGAATGGATTTTCATTTTTTTCACTGCGGGCTGGTACCAAAGGACCTACGGACTGGTACTGGTCCACGAACCGGGGGTTGGTGACCCCTGATCTATACAGTGTCCCATTTAAAACCGGCCCTTCAACAGGAACTGTATTGCTGATGTGGAAATGAGTTTGACACCCCTGCTTTAGACTGTGGATTTCTTAACAGAAACATACTAACTTTGTCACCACGTTGATCTTGACTCCAAACACCCCGCTCTGTTTTTTGGAAGGCGTTCTCTTCAGGCTCAGGTCTCGACTCGTGAACTTCATGGAGAATTCCACTTTAATCTGAGAAGAAACGAACGACACAGCTGCAGTGAACTGCGTCCTGCCGCAGAGGCACATTCTTACTCACAACTTTGCGATGTTATTCTTGGCTGAACATCAGCCAGCAGCTGTAACCCGAGGTCTGTCAATAATCAAATGTATGTCCCACAGCCATAGACCTCATTCGCTAAAGTGTAATGTAACATTATGATAACATGAAATGACGTTGTGTGATGTATTGGACATGATTTTGTCCTTGTCACATCTTGTTGCGATAATTGGTAGGCGTTAACCCTTTCATGCATGACGGTCACTACAGTGGACAGCTATTAAAATGTCATTTTCTGTGATAAGAATAGGTTTTGATGGCAGTGTTGCATATAAGCCTTTACAGTAGATGCCCTGAGAATCACCCAACACTGCCATACAGTGGTCAGCCTTTGCAACTGCAGAATAATTGTGTTAACATTCAAAAAGAAAATTTGGTGTATAAAAACAGAACCAAATCAGTTCTTATTTTTATGTCTAAAAACACATAAAAACACTTAGTAACATTTTTTTAACTCAGTATATCATGGGTCATGCATCAAAGGGTTAAAATATATTATTATTATATTATTTAAATTTTTACTTAAAACACAACATATCTGATAAAAAAAAAACAAAAAAAACAAACAAAAAAAATCGAACGTATTATTTGAATTTTTCTTACCCCGTTCATCTCTATGACGTCCATGTGCCAGTTCTTGGACTGCACTGTCTGAGGGTCCAGCTGAAAAACACACACACACAAAAAATAGGATTTTTGGACTTTTATCAAATAAGGATTCTCAACAAAAGCTTTTTTGTCATGTAACGTAATGCATGAGATGACAGTGGTATTTGAATTCATGCCAACAATTTAAAAGTGGATTTAACAGGTTAGGTCAGAGGTTCCCAACCCTGCTGAATTTTATCTGTGTAAATATTCTAATCATAATCGGAATTTTAAAAAGAATAATTACTAAAAAAAAAAAATTGAAAATGTATTTTGTTATCAGTCATTTTTTTCAGCAATTTTTACTTAATTAGTAGACATTTCAGACAACCCTATTTGAAATCCAGGCGACCCCACATGGGGTCACGACCCCAAGATTGGAGAACATCAAATATATGTCGTTAAAGGTGGATTCATTGCAAAAAATAAAAATCAAGGGAGCCTGACAAATAGTCCAAAAAGGAGAGAGAGTAATATTAGTACAATATGAGCCAAGAAGGTGGCTAAATTAACTGATTGTTCGAAACAGTGTTTTTATTTGTGCCACTGAAATGAACATCTGAAACATAGGATGTCAGTTAGCGATAAAAAAACAGCTACGATCTAGATAAAATCTAGGTTTTCACACAGTACTATTGTTTCAGTATTATCTGTTTAACCCCACATGCAAACCAGCATAACCAGTATATAGAAAGTGCTGAATTACATTTCAGCAAGAAGAAAAAAAAAAAAATATCCTTCCATACAAAAATAATCTTCGCTCCCGCCCGGTCTCGAACCGGGGACCTTTCGCGTGTTAGGCGAACGTGATAACCACTACACTACAGGAACTGACAACTGACAACCAACGGGAACAAGTTTCCAGTGACACATGAGAAGGCAGAGGTGGGTCCAAGTCATTGCTTTGCAAGTCACAAGCAAGTCTCAAGTCTTTGCACTCAAGTCCGAATCAAGTCTCAAGTCAAAATAGGCAAAGTCCGAGTCGAATCTAGGTCAAGACTGAAAAGTGTCAAGTCAAGTCCCAAGTCCTGCCGTTTCTGTTTCGAGTCCTTTCACTCACTGCCACTCGTTTTTTTGTTGATCATCTCGTAGTTTTTAAATCCGAACAACACGATCTTTGGTATCATTTTCTCTAACCCGCGCATTGTTTGACAGCTCTTTCTCATTGGTTGTCCCGCAATTTGATTGGCTCCATATTATCGCGTCAAAACAACGTGGGTCTAATTTGATTGGATGTTGTGCCGACAGCACATACACACACAGACGCACACACGTACACAATGAGAGATACAGAGCGCTCCTTAATAACTTACTTTATAATCTTCGGAGAAAGTCTCAAGTCTTGTCGAGTCAAAGGGCTCAAGTCAAAGTCACGAGTCATTGATGTTAACACTCGGGTCCCACCTCTGTTAGAAGGACAGGCAGAGACCATAGTTCGGTGCTCTGTATTCTGACCCCCAGCTCAGTAAAGACGTCCTTGGGGCCGATGTCCTGGTACTTTCATCCAGTCTTCTTTGGAAAGCATATGCTACTTATGTTTCCCACATTGAGTGCTGTGCAGTCTCCCCAGGGTTTAACAAGGACTCCAGTCACTCTGCCCACTACTTCACCACACATCCTCCAAGCGTCCATGACGTTCTCTCAGACGAGACAGACGGCAGCTTTTTGTAGCCCTGCTCGTTCTGTGGCTAATGTCTTTTTTTTATCGTCTGTTGGTGTATCTACACCACACAGTCATGCCATTGCAAGTCAACAAGGCGATGTCTGCCCTCGTTTACAGTGGGAGGGGAAAAATATATTGTCGGTTGAGCACGAGGGCCGCACACTGTCAGCATTAGGTAGCGACCATTAAAAGTTTTCACCCAGCGTCTTCACATAAAAAAGCCATTTGGCATCGGTTTCACGCATTTCTATTATCGTTAAAGCGTGTTTTCCCAGCAGGGTATGGGGTTTGAGATGAGGGCTGGGGAATCACTGTAATTGGGTTTTGAGACAACAGCTGCCAAGATGAGGGATGGGCAAGGACCCGGGACTCATTGTCGGTGGCTGCAGTAGCCCCTCAAACAAAAAGTGTGCCTTCCAGCCATTTCCTCTTTATTGCCCTCAGTTATGCCCTAAATAACTGATTAAAAATGAATGTCCTTGACTGAGGCTTTAAAAATAAAAATGATCTTTTTACAGGCAGTGGCTGAACTCTCTGACACCTCTCAACGCTCTATCCTCAAAACATTTTCTCAACAAAAACACCAGCTCACATGGTTTCGGTTTCGTAAAGAAATAGTAAGGAGTACCATATTTTCCGGACTTTAAATCGTCCCAGCCAAAAAAAAAAAAAAAAACGCATAATGAAGAAGAAAAAAACATATATGAGTCACTCCGGAGTATAAGTGGCTCCAGTGCCCTCTAGTGGCTGCAAGTGTGAAAATAATGAACATGTACATTTTCAGTGGCACAGGACTGGCAGATACTGGTACACAAACCTAGACTGCCCTCTAGCGGCTGTCAGTGTGAAAATGACAAATATAAGTACGCGTTGGCAAGGATGAAAAAAAGTGCGACTTATAGGTATGCGTTGCCGAGGATGAAAAAAAGTGCGACTTATAGTTTCGGAAAACAAGTTAGGAGCCTCGCACACATACAATTTTTGAATGAAGAACTTTTCAGGTAGGAGTTGAAAGACAAAGGTTAAAAAAAGATTGCAGTATTATTTTGGAGAGAGATCTCAAGTAAAGACGTTCCAGATGTCTGGAACATTTGAAAGTAAGCACAGACTTTTCGGTTGCCTCGGCTCTGCATCTGACCTAGCGGTTTCATGTGAGCATGACTAAGCTGTCTTTGTAGAACCTTGAAGCACTCCCAAAAGTTGCGCTGCAGCCTGGAGCACAGTATGTAAATAGCTAGAGGTGGGACCAAGTCCCAATAAAACACTGCTTTCTGAGTGTCGTTAGGTGAAGAAGGCAAAACTTAAGAACAAGTTTATTTATACTAATTCTATCACTTTCCAATGGGCCTGCACAAGTCGGCACATGTTACGAATGGATGGATAAAAACAGGATGTCACCGAATCGATTATTACAGGAATGTATTGAAACTTTGTTACGTTTCCCTTGAATTAATATATTTGTTCACAGTGGCTTACGTTCAACTTGCTTCATGACTACTACTCTTCTTACTTACTATCATTCTTCTTTTCTTTCTATTTTTTCACAGTTCAGCGGGTTGAGATTCATCTTGTACTATTACTACTGCTGATATGTCAATATATTAATATACAATATATTTTATGTGACAAGCTCCACACCACAGGGTGTTTAATGATTTCCATTCTCCGGATAAACCTTTCGCTGTCTGGACCACTGACTGATATATGAGCCCTGCTGCTGCTGCAGCTGCTGACTGACAGCAGCATCTGTGCAACACTGGAGGAAAGCTGGGGGGTCTGCCCCCGCTTTACACACCGAACACATGCCTCAGCACATGCTACACCACAGCGACAGGAAGAGACACGCAGGCATCAGATGTGATGAGAAATCGTGCGGAAACCATTAAAACCCCTGAACCTATCACATGTTTTGTACTGCAGTTTGTGATATTAGCCCTTTGATGCATGACCCATGATATACTGAGTTAAAAAAATGTTACGTAAGTGTTTTTAGACATAAAAATAAGAACTGATTTGGTTCTGTTTTTATACACCAAATTTTCTTTTTGAATGTTGACACAATTATTCTGCAGTTGCAAAGGCTGACCACTGTATGGCAGTGTTGGGTGATTCTCAGGCGTCCACTGTAGAGGCTTATATGCAACACTGCCATCAAAACCTATTCTTTATCATAGAAAATGACATTTTAATAGCTGTCCACTGTAGTGACCGTCATGCATGAAAGGGTTAGTAAAAAAAAATTCTTTTAACTTTTAACATGCGCTAGCTAAAAACACGCTAGCTTGAGCAGAGCAGCTTGATAACAGGCGCAAACCTCCAGGTCTACACAGATTGTGATGTCATCATGCCAAAGTTGAAGCACGAGGACACGTGTTGTACGCTTTCTTTGCATTTGTTTATTATCTTTCCTCCAATATTAACGAGAATTATCGTTAATAAGGACAGTAAATAACTAAACTAGGTTTGCATTAAACATGGAGCCCAGCTGCAACACGCTGTGTGCAAAAAAAAAAATAGGAGAAAGCATTATGATTGTTTTCTTTTCCAGCCCTAAAGCATCTTCCTGCTGCACATTCATCATTAAATGTACATGGACAACTATATTTAGCCACAGAGCACTGACTGAAATAATGTTTTTATGTGCATCAGTGACATTTTTCCTTTACTAAACAGCTGATGTCACCATACTGAGGTATGTGTGAGGCAGTGTGACTCAGTTGCCCTTGTTGATTAATGTCCTACTTTCCTACATAACTACAGATTAGTGTATGAATATTGTTTGGACAAATGTCCAGGTTTTAATGATTAAACCCATTAAACTTTCATCTGTGTACTTTAAACCAATGGGCCGAACAACCGGGTAATGTTTTGTGGATGAGTCGTTCATCCCCGGGGCACTGTGGCAGAGCGTGTACGGTACACGATGACACAGATCTATGCAGCACTTATGCAACTCAATCCTGCCTTGTCACCCACTGGAGCCACAGCGAGGATGAAGGAACGGCCGGTCGAAGAAAACGAGTTGAACTGCCCTTTTAGAAAGGCTATATTTGAGTTTACAAGAAGACCAAAACTTAGCTTAGAGTTGTTGATTCTATATCACAACATACATTTACGTGGAGCGGATACACATTACCACAGCTAGTCCAGCAGTCCGGACACAGACGTCGCCTTCAGTGACCCAGACTTTTTTTGTGTCTTAAAAAGTAAGCTCAATATATGGCTGAAAACGCGGCTACCTAGCCACCCAAGACTAAAAAAGTAAAGTGATGCTCCAGGTTTTAATTAACAAATTACTACAAAAAGGATCACTTAGCCTTAGTGCTATCAGTGCTGAGCTGCGGATACTCCT